GTGAAGGTTACTGGATGGAATGGAACTGGGTGTTCCCCTGAGTGCTCAGAGGAGCAGTAGATAGGAGAGAGGCCCCCGGCTGCTCTCAAGTGCAGAGAAAAATCAGTGTCCTGCTTGGAGAGGAAGTGCTTTCCAGGCGAGGACCAGGTTCTGGGGCAGGAGGCTACGTCAGATAAAAACATCTAGTCCCAGGACCAGGCCAGTCCCAGGGAGCTCGTGGGAGTAGCTGCTATCCACACTAGTCTGTTCCTCCCACAGCGTAGGGACAAGGGGCTGAGGCTGGCGCGCACCTGCCCCTGCCTCTGGTTGGTGCTGAAGTCTGGTCTGGGGCGCCCTCTAGTGCCCGAGGCTGCACAGAGGCGATGACCGAGGACCCAGGGGAGCAGAGCGGAGCCTGACTGGCCCTGCCTCTGTTGTCACCTTTCCATGTCTTCCCTTGGGAATATTCGTGGAACTGAGTGGGACCCCTCAGTCACCCCTGCTCTTTTCCGCCCTTTGCAGGACGATTTTCTCCTGATACATTATGACAAGGGGCCCTGCCGGAACAAGCTAGGCCACTCCCGGGCATCTGTGATCTGGCATCGGACACAGGTAGGCGGTGACTCACCTGGAACTTTGGTCTCTAGGAGGGGTGTGTGGGGGGGGAGATAGAGAGAGAGACTGGCTGGAGACCTGCTGTCCAGAAGGGCAGCGGGTAGAGCTTGTGCCGTGACAGCCCTGGCCGTCAGAGTAAAGGTGCATGACACCGGACGCGTGACAGCTGTCAGTGTCAGATGTCAGATTACTCGCTGATCACTCATGGACCTGGAAAGAGTCTCCTGACTGCATTGCTAATCCATGCTTGACCTTGAGAAGCTTGTCACCTGCATGGCAAGAAACCCTCTTAAGGCAAGATGTGGCCACATTGCTGTGAAGAAGGCAGGGGAACAGTCCCCGCAGCCATGGGGAGTGGTGGCGCGTCTCTGATCTGGGAACTCGGTGCAGCCGAGACCTGAGCACTGAGTGAGCTCCTTCACCAGACACAGAGGACAGAACGTGCTGCCCAGGCAGCTACCAAAGAACAGGACATGATGAAGGACGTGAAACCATCCCTGGCCTGAGCCTGGCCAGAGATGCTGGAAAGACAAGTCCCGGCCCTGAAGAAGGTCCCGGGTGCCAAGCTGCAGGTGCCTGGGCATCCTGGCCTCTTGTCCAAGGATGGGTTGGAGCAGAATCACTTAGGCGGGCCTGGGCCCCATCCTGGCCTGTGGGTTGGGGCCTGTGGAGTGAAGCCCAGGAGTTGCTTTTGTTTCAGAAAACAAATCCATAATCTTTTTCATGTCTATGAGACAGTGTGACAGGCAGTCTGGGAAATGGATATGTACAGATGGAAAACGCCTTTCTCTGTGGCATGTGTAAATTAACATCGGTGTCAAGGAAGGTGCAGAAAGAGCCAGGCAGGAGTGAGCTCTCAGTGGACGGGGGTCAGGAACTGCTTCGTAGATGGGCATGTGACTGGGAGTGGCTTTGTGCCTGCTCATTGTCAGGGTGAGCTTCTAGACACAGGGGCAAGGTAGGAGGCGATTGCTGGGACTCCCAACCCCAACTCAAGCCATGAAAGCCAAGCTTTAATGACAGCACCACCATGTGCCCAGCCACTGGGAGGCTGGACCCCTGAGCCCCCACACTCAGAGCTGGGACTGTGAGTTGGCCGGCCATGGCCCCTGAAT